CCAAACATCCTCAGAACACTGGCATTGTCAGCTAGAAGCTACGAGGACAGATCAAAGGGCAAGTGGAGTTGATGTGCATTCCTTCAACAAGCAACAAGCACAGTCTGCTTACAAAATATTTATGCGATCACTTGCATATAGAGCGCTCAGTGTTGGTAAACCGGTTGTGATTTGAATTCCAGCGAGGAACTGTGAATGGAACAATGAATAAATTGCTGAACGGTTTGCTGGGAAATGTAATTTTGTAAATGTACAGCTGATTTTGCCGTTTGTTTTGTTACATCGTCATTTTTCACCACACTATACACAGAGAAAATAGGGACATGCACACTATTAGCATTGACTGTACAAAGAATACTGTATTCTGTATACTCAATGCTATTAGTCAACACAACTAAAACTTTAAGGTTATGTGAAGAAATATAGGAATCAGCAAAAAAATAGTTCATAGTTGATAGGCAGCGGTGACAATAAAACAAGTCTTTTGGAATGCATATGGATGTGTATTTAATATACTTTAATGTTTTAAGTGAATAAGCGAACAGCTGATTTTCGGCCCTAGGGACGTACAAACCTGCTCGGCCCCCAAATGACGACAGCATACATTTTGGCCCTGGACTACGTACGTAGTTTTCAGCCTCCAATTAACGTTTGTTAAACGGCTAAAAACATCGTTGTGTTGTGAAAATTATGTTAAATCTCTATTTGAATATATTTGTGTTCATTATCATGTTCAATTCTATATTTTACTGCAATGACCACCCTAAATAGAGTAATTACAATTTTCCAATACAATGGTAATTTGAACTTCGATTTCTTATCGCATTGATGAAATTAGTGATAGATCTAACTTGCGTAACCAAAATCACCCAAATATTTTAATACATCGGTAAGTTTTAACCACATTCTAAATCAGCAAGCTATTTAGCTTCAATAACATTATAGTTCATCAAACGTGCTGAACATATTACATTGACCTTTAGTCATAACCTTTTTAATCAGCAGGACTAAAACCATCTTTATAGTATGTTCCAAGTCTTATCGAACTATAATTAATTACACGTTTCGATGTTATATGGCTACTTTAACTTTATCATGTGAGTTGGACCAAATTTATAATAATATTGTTTCCAAAATTTAAGATTTTTGTTAACATACAATTTTTTTCAGAAAGATTTCCATGAATATTATGTATCGGATAAAAGCTCACATTACCTAAGTGTGGTAAAGGTTAGAGTATTACAAAGTTAGAGAATGTTTAATTTGTTGATAAATATTAATAGAGAATGTTCAATTATTGAATGAAAATATTTAATTGACTAAAGGCTAATTTAACTAAGAGGTTATTGTTTTAGTGAAAAGTTAATTTATTTGTTTTTACTTTTCTACATTACATGTATAATGCTCGATTTCGAGTGACGGGCTTGCTCTAAAATTATTCTTCTTTATTGTCAAAGTGAACACGAAATTTAATAAATGTCACAAAAAAATCTATAGATTATTTTGAATCAAGGCAAAATATGTTGAGATATGTATGATGCTTATAAAAACCCACATCTAAATGAATAGTAATAATAGAACAGACCGCATTAAAATGGTTCGATAATTTGAGCCATGTTAAGAATTAATTACTATTGACTTAACTGTAATTACTACAACACCTAGTACTGCATCTTTAGAGCCAGTTGTTTCCATAGTATACCTGTTTGTTCTGCACATTATAAGTAAATATAGCATTTTGTATAACTGTTTCACATGCAATGTATTCAATTTTGAAGAAAGTAACCAAGTACTTATAAACAATTTGTCATTGTCATAAAATACCTGTTTTATTGTCTACAATGACGCGGGCCAGCAAAAAATTTTAAAAATTTGAAACAAAGGAAATACAATAATTTTCCAACAGTCAAATTTGTAACAGACTATAAAGATTTTTAGTATTGGATATTTTTAGTACTTATACAACCGTTGTCGATTCGGGTAGACTTCCGTATCTGTTGGCACAAACAACCGAATGAAAATATCAATCGATAGGTTAGGTTAACCTTACCTAACTAACCAAACGATATATCGAATGAAACAATCGAATAATCGATATTTTCATTCGGTTGTTTGTGCCAACAGATTGGAAGTCTACCCATCGATTCTTACTTTTTTCTGAACAATAAAGCAAATAAAATAAATTCCACTCTAAAAAAAGTATTTCCACCTATTCAACTATCCACATATAACTATCTAGCTAAATATTTAATAGGCTTTCTACAAACTTTTTATGCTTTTGTTTATTACCTATCCTCACGTATTACACATTAAAACGTGCATTTTTAAGTGTATAGATGTGTAAACTGGCTTCATATTTTCGATTAAAGCAATAAAAGTAGAAAACAGTTTTAAACACAGTTAACAATGTATTTGTGTTGCAATTATAACTTATAGTTCAGAGATCTTAGCTGTTTGGTTCACGTACCAACTAAAACCGATTCCTGTTCTTGTCTGATTTATAAAGATGAATAGTTAAATGTCTGTTGTCTTATATTTAAAATATGTTGCATATATGTCACATACTTGGTGAAAAAGGTAAAAGGAAAGTTTTGTCTTATATGTAAAACATTATGCTGTATAACCTTTACTAAATAACATAAAGAAAAAATAATATCTGAAAAAATAATCGGATGTGTGTAATGCATGAATGGGCATTTATTTACTGTACAATAATTTAACTAGTTTTTTCCATGTAAATTCGTATTAGAATTTTGTACTAATGTTTTTAATAACCTCTTATACGTTTACCGGTAGTTGTATTAAACAAATGCTACCCTATGCAAATTGCATAATAAAACGTTTACTAAAACATGAAACTCTTATTTACTAGCAAAACACGTTGTACAGAAGAAAGAAATGTATGTAAACAATTATGTTTTTACTTGCTAACCATATAATAAACTAAACCTTACCTGAACTATAATATACGTAAAGCCAGATATCTTCTTCTTTTAACAGGCACAACACAAAAAACTAGTTGCAGACTATTGTCTAATTCCATAATATTATTACGTTATATCCGGCTGAGTAACCATAGAAGTTTCGTCAATATTACATCACCTAATGTAAACAAGAAGATGAAAATTATGCAATATAATATGTTATAGCAGTTCTCTGCAGTTGATAACGAAAGTGAATGTTAAATTAATTGATTGTATTTAGATAACATAGACAAGGGGTCAAGGTCGAATTAAACATGCACAGTCTCAACAAACTAATTCTTGTTTGAAGAAAAAAACCTCAACTGTAAACCATTGCTCTGTCCATGCTTAGCCAATGATGTATACGTGATGTATGTATGCGTATGTATGTATATATGTCACATATAAATGTATATATGCGATGATGTATACCAAAGATGTTTAGCTGTATACATCGATGTGCTAAGAAACGGGGTTAGAATACAGAAAAATACGGGCCTTTAACATAATCTACTGTAAAATTCAGATAACCCACCATTGGTTTTAGGGGTTAAACTAAATTTTACTTATTGATTATTTTAATGGATATCTCCTAGGTTTATTTGTTTGCAATCAGCTGTTTAATATAACCAAGGCTAATAACTTTGTCGTAATGTGAACTTAAAAATCTGTATTTTTTAACAGAATTCATTTGACAATTTTTACTACATATTGGAACAAACTGCCAATATTTACAATAGTTGAAACCACTAAATGTGATATACACAGAATAGACTTCCCATGTACGTAAAAATTTGAAGCCAAGAAAATAGATGAAGTTCAGGACCATCTTACCAGAGGGTACTAGTGTATTGGGTTAAATCTATACTATTATAAAATTGAGGTGGTGTCTGTCTGTATGGAGGTGATAGCTGGAACAGCTGTCACTACTAAAATACTAAACCGATATAGCCAAAAATGAGCACAAAGATGGTCCAAATATCTAGGAATGTCATAGGCCTATTTACTTCCCTGAGTTCGTCTCAGGCTACGCCCCTCGGATGTCCAAAGTTTTCATGTGAGGTTTTCAAAAGTAAATATTAATAATTGGTCTCCATGGAAAGATGAGATAATTTACAATATTTACCTTTGCGTAGACATTTCAATGTAAACAATCAGAACTGCGAAATGCTTAACTCACAATTTCAGACAGCTGATACAAACAAATAAAATAAAATGTTTTACAAAACTATGTGGTAGGTTTATTTAGTCACTTTGTAATAGATAATTTATTCTAAAACTATGTCAATAATTATGGCAATAAAAAGATTCTATAACCGTAAGTAATGAAAATAATGTTATTGATATATTTTCATGTAAACAGTACGACAATTACAATGTAAGTTATGTTTTGAATAAATGTTGTGGCTTTTTGTTTATAAACTCGAACTACTTATAACAAGGGTTTGGATTTGGTGGTATCACGAATACTTTCTAGTAATCGTGGGTGGTATAATATCTTCCCGTTGCGAAGCACGGGTACAGCATCTGGTAATAATTAAAATCAATGCAGTATCATAGCAAACAGCTGATTGATTTACCACTTGACACATAACATTGTCATCAGTTGGCAGACCATCTCAACAGATTGAACAATTTCTTTTGCTTCAAATTTTTACACTTCATGGAAAGTCTATTCTGTGTATAGTCAATGATGAAACGATACCTTTCATTGAGATGGCAAAGTACTAAAGCCTTCATTTAACTTTCTTCAAATAACTTTCTTTAAAAACAGATAACATTTTTATTTTGGCTGACAAAATAATGAAGTAGCCTTTGCCCAAATACACGTTTTGTTTCACAGCCCATAAGTGTATTTTCTACCAATACTCTTTTCTTGGCTTTGGCTTCCCCTCCATGGTTAAAACTTTAACTCGCGTCAATTTAGGCATCAGTTGTAAAATGAAATATGTTGTACTGGTACTAACACTTAACACTAGGGGTTAATTTTTGACAAAACCATGATCGCAAAAAAGTCAAAATACGTGTTTACAGCTTTCAAATGTTTTATTTTAAAGCACAAATTTTATTTAGCTATCGTATTAAATAAAACGTATTAAATCTAAAAGTATTTACAATAATGTACATAAAATATAACATATATTTATCTTGCTTATACAGAACCATTTAAAAATCAACTAAATGTAATAAGACATTATGGAGTTGTGTGTTTTTCATTTTAAATTACTCGGCAATTAGTTGAAGAAGCTTTCGTTTATACCTTTTCTAACTCATTTAAAAAAGGCCATTCTCACTCCTACCGTAGGAATAAGTATTCATAGTACATATCCTATGGGATACGCAGACCGAGTAGGTTCTATCGATCTTCTTGACTCACGGGCTTTAAGAACATATATCTTGTTATGATACAAAAACAAATACATTTGAAGAGTAACTTTCTTTGAACAATGTATATCGTTTACAGTATTTACTTCATTTACTCTCGTATACATTTAAAGTACACTCCATTCTATTTTGAACAACCAGTAAAAATATGAACAAATGGTTTTATAAAAAGTAAAAATATGTAGCTGGGATATATTGTTATACTTTGCTAAGGGGAACTACTTAGATTTTAAAATAAAACCTACTTTGAATTTAAAATATCATTTAGGTAGACAAATATTCCATTTGAACACGTTGGTATAAAACTGTTGGTACAAAATAGTTATGTGTGTAAATATTACCCAAAGTACCTACCTCATTGCTCTCACTTTTAATCTAACTGCAGCAGGAGTTGATTCCTTGGAATAGATTCTCAAAGCAAAGATACTTTGTGCTAGAATTAAACTCATCATTTCCTACAGTTACCATGAAATAATAATAATACATTTTAAACTTAGTATGTATATTTTAAGGTAGTTTTTAACTTTGTTACTTCTCATCAAGAAAATAATTATATCAACACATGCAATAAAAACAATAACAGTATCAAAAGCTGATTTAAGAATTATTCAGAGAAAATATGAGAGTGCTAAGTGAAAGAGTGCGGAAAATCATATATTTTGGATGTTACAAACAATGCTAAATAACAAATTCCTTAGGCAACTGTAGGAAAATAAAGTTGATTACTAATACCCTAAGAGTCTTAATACAGATACTCAAGAAATTTCTCAGGTAAAACATCACAGACCTTATGAGATGAAATCTTACTTGGAAGATTGTTAACTTTAACACAGCTCGATAGCCTTAACACTCGGATCAGCATGTTTGCGTAACTCTGGTCAACTCTTTTTGGATCTGCGAAAGAGATTTGTTCTTAGTCTCGATCGCGTAAAAGTACATCCATATCGACCCTACGAAACAAGTGAGCGAGAAGATCATGAAGATGAAGTAGACACCGATGCTGTCAGCCACCACTTGGTAGAGCTTGAGAGTGATGAAGGCGCCGATGGTGAAGACGATGGTGTTGATGCTAGAGGCTACTGCTCTAGTATTGGCTGGGAACATCTCCGAGCGATAGGTCATAGAGACTGGGTCCAGTCCGAAGGCTAGGAACAAGTTGTAGAGGATGATGCAGGCCGGGCTCACCCAAGTATACTCGGAGAGGTCGTAATCGCTGTGGTCGTAGTAGTAGAAGAACAGACTGACGCACCCGAGACTGAAGGCGCATCCGATTGTGGAAATGATAAGAAGAGGCCTTCTACCAGTCAGATCTGTTAGAGCGGTGCTGAAGAAGCCCGAGATGAAAAGCACCAGTCCCATGATGATTGTTAACACATACGGAGGAATCAGTGTGAACCCTGTTCTTCTGAACAACTCTGTGGAGTATGAAACTATAGGAGCCAAACCACTCATCATCTTAACACCTCCGACCAGCTGGACGATCATCAGAGCTCTTCTATCAGCCGGTGTAGCTATGATGTCCCCGATAGACGCTTTATTGCTGATTTCCTTCTGCACGGTTTGAATCATATCCACAAGTTCTTCCTTGACGTCTTCCACATTCGTCGTACCTCTCAGCCACATCAGAGAGTTCTCTGCTTCGTCTTCTCTCCCCTTCATGATGTAGAAGTGAGGGGACTCCGGCTGGAGGAAGAACAGGCCGATGAAAACGATGGGTAGGAGCATGGAGATGATGACGAGGACATCAAAAGAAACGAAGGGTCCGATGAAGTACTCGTAAAGAAACCCGAAGTAGAAAGCTATCTGGAAAAGACTGGTGATGCCTCCTCGGATGTGTTGGGAGGCGATTTCCCCAAGGTACATTGGTATTACTGTGAACACAATGCCGATCGCCAGACCTTGGACTATTCTGGCGACGCAGAGAGCCGCGAGGTTCTTGAAGTTGAGGATGATCAGCCAGGAGATGATGTAGAAGGGCCCGGTGGACAACGCGAGGGGTTTGCGTCCAAACTTGTCAGCCAGTAGCCCAGCAGGGATGGGTGAGAAGAGGTTGCCCACCTCTATGATGGCGATCATCCAAGAAGCCTCCGCTGACGTCATGGGTATCTCGCTGTCGTCTGACGTCAGGTTGACGAGGGTGGGGGCGATCCAGCCGAAGGACGTCCCGCAGGCCACCACTATGAGACATGCTGCAACACAAAGTGGGGATTAAAAAATGTAATCTTATACAACTATTTTAAGAATACATGTGCATTATTACATTTTTACCAATTAATAAGGAACGCAACTGGCCGTACGTTATCCCAAGTACGAGTGAAGGATGAGTGCAGAATGAAATCAGATTCATTGTGTCCAAGCCCAGCTGTTTCCTTAGCTAGACTCATAAAAAGCGTCTGACTTCGAACCGGCAAATACAATCATTTTACATACAGGCTAACAGGCAGGTATATAATATGTCTTAATAATTTGGTATTTCAACAAAATAATGATGTCACGACAATTCCGTACCAAAAAAACTATTATTTCAGCTAACTACTATTTTAATTTGTAAATAGACCTATTAGTAATAAAACTGCAGCTACAGCTCATAATAACCACACCCGGCTTGAATAGAATACAAGAAATACAAGATGGTTTCTTGTTTATTTTTTACGAGTATTTAATTTATCGTTATAAAAACTGCCAAACACTTTTTAGTTGTTTTAAAGATAATAAATAACTTCTGGATCAGCATTGTTGTAATTAAATTTACGGAAAGTAAATAGAAGATACTTCTAATGACACCTAAAACATATATTTAAGCTTATACTGTTAATTCACAAGACGGCAAATTTACATAAAATATGGTCAGTGGTGATCTATTTCGATTGAAGGATATTGGCATTTGGCATTATCCAATTGAGCAGATTGGCATTTGATGGATGACGTATGAGTTTAGTAAAACCATGATTTTCTCCAATAGTCAATTTATCAATAATAAATTGACTATTGGATAGTGAAAGTACTACTTAAGGGAAAATATTGTCCAACATCGTGCATAACTGGATTTTGAACCATCATTATTTTACTTACAAGTGGGTTGGGTTGGGTTTCATACCCAAAGAAATTCTCAAAAGCTATGTGAAAACAGGAAACATTATATCTTGATCGTAGTCTTAGTTTTCCGGAGTATGCAGCTAATACTGTAATCTTGGTCTTCACCGAATCGCATACACACAGTCAAGTTTAAAGAAATTGGTATAGCTTTAGTCTTTCTTAGGCTATAAAATGGAGTCATTTCATGATACCCCCGTAATATATTCACATTTCCCCGTAATAAACGGGAAAACTTTATTTAAATATGTACCTGACACAGAAGCTAGAAGCTGCCTCGAGAATCCCTGCGTCAAGAACTGGTAAGGCAACGGCATTGTACCACGTGCTAGAGGTTGACTAGTGAATCTTCAAATATTTATACAACTGATAACATAAACCCGCCGGTAAATGATAACGCTATCTCGAGAACCTGCAACTACTTAATGTAGAGTGTGGTGAGGCGGTAAAGAGGTCAAGAGGGTCAAACAGGTCAAGGTCGTACATAACCTACACCAACATACCAACGTGACCTTTGAGGTCAAAAGGTCAGGTGGGTGTCCAAATTGCGGATTTTTAATGCGATTTATTGAAGTGGCCGTTATTGGAATACTTTAAGGCTAGCTTTTATAGAAAATTATATTTTTATAGAATAAGGTTCAGTGTTGCCCACTAGAGAGGCATACTGTGTTTCCTTACCTGTCATTTTTTTAAATTTAGATAAGCGTTTTCCATTGTTGAACATATTGTAGACAGAAATAAGCATTATTGCATCTTGACGAAGAGTATAGTTCATAGCTTGTACCAAAACCGATTTTCACGAACTTGCTAAATTATTGCTGCTCTCGGCCTCGCCTCGCTTTTGAAATTTGATGTTTCTGCGTTCAGGTTTGTCCGGTTTGCCTCACACATGAAACTTAAGCGTGAGCAGGAAAATCCGGAAAATGCCACTTTCGGTACTATTAATGCAACATGCTATAGGGGCAGCTGATTTCTTATAGTGCTCGCATAACAATTAAAAGGTTGTCAGAACAATCCACGAATACTACACAACACTTTTTTCTTTTCTAGTATTCGTGGATCCATCCTGCGAAAAGCCAGTAGCTTTTGATATTTCGAAACTGGAGCTAGCTGTTCCTGATCATTGGGCTTTAAATAAATAACAACTAATGAAACAGCTGATCTTAGTCAGTCAGTAACAAAGCTACATAGATCATATAAAACGGAGAAGCTCCATTATGTTAAACAGCTGTTTCGATAGGCCGAGAATGTGGCTTTGCCACTTTTGTCCCCCTGCGGACTTGTATCATAGGAGACTATGTATAACTAACTACAGTACATGAATATAAAATGTGTACTACACGGTAGTGCATCCATAATCAATGTCCTAAATTAAAAAATGTCAATTCTAGACTCCAAATTTAGAATCACAGCATACCATTTTTAAGAAGGCATACAAGTAGGTAAATTGAATAATTTACACCAATGAAATATCATTTTATTTTTAGATTTACTCAAGTGTCTCCAAGTGTTTATTTGGCACTCAACAATAAGTTTATCCCACAAAGAGGCTCGTCTGATAAACCTTCACGCCTCTCTAGTGCTTTTAACATGCGGTAGTCACTCTTCATCAGTGTTACCACCACTTCATAATAAAATATCCCACATGTTGAAACATAAAATCCCATTTATCCCTGAATCAGTTTCTAAACTTTAACATGACTATTTTTGTTGGTTTGAAGCTAATACAGCAATAAACGTTTTATTAAATGGGCTGCTGTATAATTTTTACTGAGAAAAACGTGCATTGTGTAAATTGTAAAATATATGATATTATAGTTTTTCTCAAACATTTGCCAGATTTGGGATGAATATTGTATGTTTCTGCAACACTCTTTTGGTATCATAGTACAGTGTCTGGTATCCTAACATATTAAAATAAAATATAAAAAAAAACTATCCAAAACTATATGAATCTGCAGATTTTCTTATTATCTATGTACAAGAAAATATGGTATAGGGCCTATAATTGTCAGTGAATATAACAAAAATATTGATCCAGACATTTTGTTTTTATTTTGAAGATTACATTTAATACATTGTAAAGAAAATAATTGGGACACCCCATTAAAGGTCAAAAACATACAATGGTAAGGTTCCATTGCATCATAAAACTAAAATCTTTACACCTATATTATTAAAAAAATTTGTTGGGGTTTTGTATTCAACAAATTGACCCCGAAATATTTATTTTTATAGGCATATTGGGTATCAATTTAAAGCTCTTATCCTCTAGATGTGCATTTTTTATGATATCCCGCCCTCCGTTATATAGGCTTTGAAAAATTTCAGTGTTTTTGCTGAATTCTGTTGTCAATCATCTGAACTTTACAATTTTACATTTGTTTACGATAAAACAGATGGCCATAATACAATTTTGTTTACATCAATGGGATCGATGGGATTATCGTTACAGTTGGTGATGTTTTCGTGAATTCAAGTAAAATATTGTGATGTTTTTCATGGTTGCTAGTTTAACTTCTGTTTTCAAACTCTGTTCAACGCATTTATGTAAATGACTTAAGCCTTGTTTCCACTAGAATTCAGTTGTTACTATGATAATCGCCGTGCTTCCAGCTACTAGGCCAGAGAAATAGCTTAAAACACGACTAATGTAAGTACTAACCTTAAGGAATAGTTCAGAATACATACCCAAAACAGTATCTTTGCCTGATAAAAAGCTATACTAAAACCGTTAACTAGGTTTTGTAAGGGGATTGATAGCTATAAACGTCAAAAATAAATACACAGATAAAAATATGGATAACAAGAACTTAAATAACTGAACAGGAGCCTGAACAAAACCAGAAGTTATGTTAAAAGGTGTACAACGATCCCTTACTGGCATGTGCATATCGCCATAAAGAACGTACTCCATCCGTTCTACACTCATTTACTATTGATATAAAGAAACAGTCCACACAGCCAAATAACAGAAAAAAACTCGTTGAAAACCCCTGATTGCATAAGCAATGGTTTTTCGACCAGTAACACTGTACATGATGCACATTTGAAATTTACATTCGATCCTAAGGATACAGACATATTAACATACTAGTCAGAGAAATATAGTTGCAAGAAAATTGTAAAAAAATTGCAAGAAAACGTTTTATGGTTTTATTTTGTAGTGCTGGGCTTGCAGAATGACATACTAAAAGTTGCCAAAAATCGGTGCACGAGAATACCACTAAAACCACAATTTAAAATGGTGGCTTCTCCCAACATTGGACAAATAAAAAAAAATATTTCATTAAAGACAATAAATAACTTGGTAACGCCTTAACAACCAGAGATATAAATCTTTTAATAAAAACTTATTTCTAAAAAGTTAAATTCAATATTGCGTTGGGATTTGTAGCTAGTCTTTAACTCGTTTGAATTTAATACTCAAGAGCTCAAATGAAAGTCCTTACATTACTGAATATTTTAAGCCTAGCACGGACTGCAAGCGTTAAGAAGAACTGGAGATATAAGAAAAATAATTTAAAAAAATATCAAACTACAAAACGTTCATAATAAATGTATGGGAGAGAGTTTTCGTTTGAGTATATCTTCTAAATGAAAAAAATATATTGAAAAACGGATTTCGGCATTGAAATCAGTGTAAAAATGTAGTCCGTAATGATGTGTCACAACACTATCATTACATTGAAAAAAAATTATCTATGTCCAATATGGCGGATCCAAGATGGCGAGCAAAAACGTGTTCCCTATCAAAATGAAGTACTAACCACCTAATTAATACAGGTGGTGGTCCCAAGTCAATATCTCGAAAAATGTGCATAAAAAATGCATGTGAAATATATTTTTTTAATTTGTCCAATGTTGGGAAAAGCCACCATTTTAAATTGTGTTAGTTGTTTTCTCGTGCACCGATTTTTGGCAACTTTTAGTATGTCATTCTGCAAACCCAACACTACAAAATAAAACCATAAAACGTTTTCTTGCAATTTTTTTACGATCCCTGTGTAAGTTTTGTTAGTTTGTTTGGACTATACTGTATCAGTTTTTTTTTGTCACTAAAAGTTGTCTCACGGTACGGTACTTGTGTTTTTGGTTAAGTTTGGTTAGGTTACCCAACGAAAAAACCAACGTGCATTTTACTCACATTTCGTTTAAATACGAGTACCGGAAGTTACATAGCCAACAATTAATTGGAAACTGTCCAATGCAAAATTTAACTGTCACTACTTAATTATGCTTAAGGTTAAAGGGCGTGGTATAGTGATTGGGAAAAATGATTTGATCTCTGACTCGTTCCTTTAGGTTCAGGTTTGGATCTAAGAACAATCAGCTAACAATAACAGCTAACAACAATCAACCATAAGAACAATCTCACCCAATTTCACACTTCTTCACTCATCTTCACCTCGAACTGCGCACTGGTAAGTATATACCGTTGTATAAGCCTCTAAAGCATCGCACTTCAATTATATTTAGTTTATAATGCACACTTCTGTGTGAGTCACTACCACGCATATGTAATGAACAAGTATTTTGTAACATTCTTTGCAACGGAGAGACCTCACCCCTTGACACCGGTTGACCACCCCTGAAAAAGCCCTATGTGTTGGTAATACGATATGCTATGATGTATAAGAGTATATTTACCTGAGACGGTGGCATACAGTTGTCTCAAGGTGGCAAGGCTGAGCCCACAACACATGGCGGGACTGTCGAGAAGCACCCGGTCAGACTGGGTACAGCTGGGCTTCCGAGCCTCCACGGACCTGGGGACAGACCAGTGGTCAGAGAAGTGAAGACCAGCGGACATCTACTTGGGGGGGGGGGTTACTGTAGTCGTTCTGTGTACTCTCAGCTTCCTCGCAAGAAGTCTTTCTATGCGAAACTTCTTATTCAATCGCACAACACTGCCATATGGACTAAATTGTCATAAAATTAAAATATTTACCTGTTGTCACCAACGATCCAAGTTTTGTCATACGTAAAATCCGATCTGGAAACATAGCAACAAAGAGAAAATAGGTATTTCCAGAGAGTACCTACTTTGAGAAAGAATGTTTTGGGTATTTGATTGATTTGAGGTGTTTTTGGGAAGGCTGAATTCAAATCTTAAATAGCTTAAACAGTTTATTGTAAAAATTCTTTGGTGTGATAATGCAACGGAATTCAGAAAAAAAACTTTTAGTTACAGATATTAAAAGAAAAACGATAACGTTTTCATTTCAAAGATCAGCTGATATTGTGTAGACAAATTAGAAAGCTTACTCACTTCATATTTCCGTGTTTGACACATTCGAATATTCGTCTCAATCATTCATTCATTCATTTATTGAGATATTGAGATGGGAACGCAACCTAGGTGCGTAATTTAACCCAAATTTAATTGAAGGATGAGTGTAGATTGAAGGATGAATGTAAAGTTGATCTGTGCACCTTATTTTACTGCCTAATATCAGCTGGTTCATTAGCCTCCCTTAGCCCAAAGATGAGGAACAGCTGGGGCAAGTTATGGGACACTTTTTTTTTGATAATTCTACGAAATTTTTAAATGATCACCCTTGAGTGATTGCATGAAAGTGATTGCATAAGTTGAAATTGTTTGGAAAGTAAATTAGATAACTTTACTTACAAATCGTTTGTTAAAACCGATTAAAAGTAATCCTTCGTATTTTAAAGGTGTGTATTAATAAATTCATGCACGGAATTTTCGTTATAATGTAGCAAAATGACAGTTTAAATTGTAGTTAATGCACTATAGTTATTTGCGTAACTAGTGGGTGAAGTGACACTTTGCTGCACATGAGATAAATGTTTACGAACGAGCCGTAGACAAGTGTGGAAAGTTTCTCGAGTGCAGCATAGTTTGCACTCGCGTTACACATTATAATTTTCCTACAGTTACTACAAAGCATATAAATAATTAGTCTTTCAAACATTGTACATTGGGTTTTTGGATTAGGTTAAATCCAAACGTTGAACGAAATGAGAAACGCTGCACCAGCTGATCGTAGTCGTAGTATCTGTGTTGCCAACCAATGTCCAAACTCATACGAATTACGTGCATAATAAAAGCACGCTGTTTTGTGTTGTTTGGTTGAAATACTGGTGTGTGGGAAAAAATATTGCAGCAAAAGTAAAAATAGTGCGTCATAATGGTCATAAGTAAGTAAATGCAGAAATTAGCAGCTTTCTGTGCTATAATCAGTGCAAGGAAGCCCACTTTGTCAGGTGACTGTAGAAAATATAAGTTCGTTCACTCAAAAAAGCGATAGTAATAAACTGGAGTACACAAAATCTACATACTTTTAAAATATAAAATTCGATAAATTTGTTTGATCCAAATTAATTGCTACAACTAGAAAACCATTCCAAGTTAACATACCAATTTATGTAGTACGTAATCAGAGCCAAGGGTCTAAAACGTCCTGAAAGATCTTGTAAACGCGGTCAAAGTGTCTGAAAAAACACAAATCCTTTCCTTTCTTAACACTGGTAGTTAAACATGAAACCAACACAAAAAGTAACTTCATACCACTCTTTACAAAAACGAACTAAAAGTTGTTACATTGTAATTACCTAAATGGTTAGTCTGCCATAATTACTGCCGTCTGCAGCTGTCAACCAACATTTCATAGTTTAATTTACATTGGTGAAACTAGTAAAAATTGTGATGATAATGATGTTTTTGTTATATTGATGACTAAAAATAATTTAGAATTATTATTATAAAAGTATTTGAAAAAGTCAGAATTTACGAAACAAAAATATAGTTTAACCGGAAAAACCTTAATTTGCATCCCAATGATATAAAAATGTGTTTTTGTTGACTAACGTTTTGGCCATATTTTACAATATATTAAAATTTATACACGCAAAATATTAGAGAAACGTTACGATCCATTAAGTGAACCTATGTAAATTTTATTTTTTGTGCTTTACAATGTGACTTTTTCAGTATGGAATCCGGCGATGGACTAAAAACACCACATCTAACTAATAATTAGACTATATCTACAAGATATTTATTTTTTTTGTGGGGAGGAATTATTTAGACTAAAAAACTAAATAATTTATCGAAAAACACAATGAATAATAAAACTGTTTGCATTTAAAGAAAAATCTAGTGACACCTTAATAAAAAACACTCTGGGAAACATCAAAGTTATGACACTTTTTATCACCCAATGTTTTAATAATAACAAACTATACGACTTTTAACACGTTTCATCATGTGGACTTGTGTATGCTAATCAGCTGTTACTGCAGACTTATACTTTTACAACAAAGTCGTTTATTTAATTTGCCAATAACCTGCAAAAAGTTAGTAATCTTGAAAATTGCACGCACACGCTCAAAGTCCAAACACTTACCAACCCAAATATTCATATTATCTTCATAATCGGTGTTGCCAACCAACCAAACAAAAACACAGCTACCAACTACCGGTTCAAAGTCTATGGCACACTTGGCAGACTAGCTTGAGTGTATATTTATGGAACACCGTCAATGCCAAAGGTCATTGGCTTTAAACCGGCGGAGAAAGGGCTTCACTTTCATACATGTAATTAGATTTATGTTTATAAGAGGTTTAAACAGCTGATTAAAGTTCAGGAATACCAGTAGCTTGAAAACTCCGGGGAAATATAAATTGTTATAATTCATAGTTGTGTACTGTTGAGTGTATACACTTATTAACTGTGGACCATTTACACTATTATATCCTATAGTCTAATACGAGCAAAGTCTGTTTGTCTGTATGTCTGTCTGTAATATATATATATTGAAATCCAGTAGAAGGAATGCTACTAAATTTTGGAATTAGGAACTAAAGGGCCTTAAAAACGCGATTGATGAGTACCACCACCTCAGGAAAATTCGTATTACGCTACCCAATTAATTTTAAAATGTAAAAATTTAACATTGGCCTAATAGGTTGCCAAGTAACTATGTTGGTAGAAGAAAATAAGAAGTAAAAAGTAAACAAAAGACTTGTAACATGTGTTTATAACAATCCATCCACAGTATACTAGCAAATAAAAATAAAAAAAAATACAAAGTGATAAACATTGGTTGCAACTATTGGGCGAAGATTACTGTGTTATTAGTGTTTTGTGTTGAGTGCACTAGCGTCAAATCAATGTTTTACAATTTGTATGAACTCTTTTTTTATAGTTTGCATAATTTGGACACTGGACAGCTGTATTCTTAGTAAATTGAAATTCCACTGGAACTAATATAATAAAATCCAAAATTAGTTGTAAAAAACTTGATTTTCATTTATATATTGCTTTTACAGTCGAAATAAACTATACCAAGCCATGGCTCGGTCCCCCGGTACTATCTATGACACTATAATTATACTAACTGATATTGATAGGTTTGATAAAGTTTTTGTTTTAACTATGGAATTATTTAATGTAAAATCTTCTACAAATAGAAAATAATCATGTATAGTTGACTAGTCAAGTTAGATTCAATCAATTACGTCTGCTTTGACTTTCTTTGAGTAATTTTCCAATTCACTAATCGTATTTCACGTATTACTAACCTACCCTAATGTACACACAACGTGATCATTGACTTTTGATAGTAAAATTAAACATACAATTCAATTTTAATATATGAAGCCTGTTGATGTGTATTTCTTGTAGGTGACGTTCGAGTATGCTAATGTCGACTGCTGTAAATGATTTCATGTTTTGAAAACAAATTTTACACTTATATTAAAAGACTTTACGTCGAGCAATATTTCTGTAAACACGTTTTATTTTGTCCATACACTACTAAAGTTGGTGAAACTTCATGGAATCGTTACTAAACCACATAAACTCTTTACCCTCTTTACAAAACCAGACGAATGCATACGTTAATCGTGACGTCAGCTGTTCCTTAGAAATAAAATATCCATAAGAGGCGTTTGTTGTATAAGGGATTCATTCGTTTATGAGGAAGTAATGCATGACTTAAACGATTTGGTTGCATCTTTCATGCAGTGCTGTTGACAATATTGTTATCCAGCTCTATTGACTGGAGTCAATATTACACATGTTTTCAACAAAATATCAATGAGTAGCCCTGATAAACTGTATCAATAACTGCGTGCCTGTTTGTAGGATTTGTTTTCATGGAAGCTCTATGTAAATGTTATTACTCTCTGGACTACCTGACTGTAAACAAACAAACTACTAACTACTATTTATCAACTAGAGACCACAGATCTTTTGAGTAAACAAGCCGTCTAGAAAGGCGATTTCAATAATGCAGGAAGTTGTTCAATATCTATCTTTTAGCTTATGAATTTATCAAAGAAATTTCTTTATGATGAAATATTTTAAATTCCATAAACTTTTCCAAACAACATTTCGGAGCTGCAAGTGATAACACAATGTCATAATTGTAAATATAACTATTTTTTCGGTTTAGATGGGTGGGGTCTTTTGTTGATTTTTTTATTTTGTGTTATTTCATAAATTTAACATAAAGACTATTGGATAATTTCCAATAGCATGTAACCATTGGAAATGATTAATCTATGTGGTAAATAATTATAATACCAAGTAAGATATTGAAAAATGAGCTTATTTAAACAAACGTAGGGTGTATTGAAGTGATGTGCATTGTGTACTTTATTATATCCATAATTAATAATCATCTATGGAATCATAACATCTGTTGTTTACAAACTTATCACTTCGCGTTCTAGTGAGCAACTTCTTCATTATCACGTTGACGTGTTGACACCATTGTTAACTATATCTTTCAGTCTAACATTGGACCTGATGATCGGAGTGACTGGGTCGAAATCGATCAACATTATAACATCTTTCATGTACAGCACCGGGGGGCCGATCCATAGCTCGGTATAGTTATTTCGATGTAAAAGCAATATAAAGGAAACTCACGTTTTATTTAAATAATTTTGGCTTTCATTATTTAGGTTTCAGTGAAAATTTCAATGAATAATCTTCAGTGAAAGCTTCGATCAATAGTAATAACTGTTTTCCCCTTTGTACTGTATTTTGTAATATACACTGGGGGTGGATTTTTATAAACACATGTTTCAAGTCTTTTGTTTACCCTTTCCTTGTTATTTTGTTCAACCAACATAGTTACTTGGCAACCCATAAAGCTTATGTAATTTTTTTTTAATTTTTGAAACCGGTTGATTATTAAAATACGCACCAAGGTGGCGTCCCAATCACAAATGATAATTGATAACTAATTAATACACAATTGTAAATAACATATTTTAATGCATCAACCAAAAACTGTATGCGCCAAAAATAATTTACTGTGACAGTTGACGTGACAGATTCCATTGTTTACAAAACACTGTCTTTACAAACGGCTTGGTTAGAAAATCAGTGTAAACTACAGATAAGAAATTAACATCAACATACTCTGTGGTTGGCCACATTCAACTATATTTTCATTCTTCGTCCAGCTACACATGGGATTGGAATGTCTAACCATAGTCAACGCTCTAAACCGACGTCATCGTCATCTGCTACAAACTGCCAATCTGTTGAACATTTGCCACTACAAGGCTGGCACTGATAAGGGACAACGTGGTCAGTGTCTCACCAACCGTGCGGAGCGTCTCGCGACGAGATAAGAGCTCAAGGTCGCAGGGGTCATGGAGGTCACTCGGCTGTGATACATAGTGTCTTGGGGACTCTTGAGGCATAGACCGTGGTAGTGGGTAGTATATTGCGATAGTTGATCACTGTGACCCTTATTGTAACGGAATATCAGATACAATATATCGATGAAACTGTTGGGCTGTTGGGTAGCTGAGAGGTTAGTGCTCGCCTATCAGAAAGCTGCCGGTTCAATCCTAAGAAAAGACACAATATTTTGGCTCAAAACTAGACCCAGCTGTTCTTGATCATTGGGCTTTTAGTTATGGCATATGAATCAGCTGATGCAAAAACACTAAAAGCTACAAGTGATTCCGTGCGCAAATTGAACATTTCAGTTATTAGTACCTCCAATTAGGGAGCGAGCTGGTCTAGTTGTAGAACCTGGGGTTTAAGAGCCCAAGGTCCCGGGTTCAAATCCCGTTAACTACCAATGGATTTCATATGTGATAATGCCACAACCCTCAAGGACTAGCCTGAAGTAATATAAAACAGTTCCAGGCCACCTAGTGACCTAGGATGTGAATGTGGGACGTTAAAAAGTTAGGTAGGTAGAACACCCGAAAAAAATACAGAGAATTTTTTTTTGAATGAAGTTTATTTAATCTAATTCATTAAACACTATCCGTTCAGACATATTCGCCTTTAAAAATGCACTTTAAAATGCACTAGGCATCGTAAAGTTGAATCCGAAATCTGAAGGATCTGGATATAATTTTTGTCATTGGGTAATCAATTTATTATGCTGTCCAATAAAAGGCCGACGTTAAATAGTTTTTTTATAGTACCAAATTTCTATCGTATAAAGTCGAATCTGATGTTATGTTTAATGAAAATGTAATATATTTATGATAGAAAATGCCAGAATAAATCCAGTACAGCTCTTACAATAACTAAATGAAATAAATTTGTTAAATATTTTTTTCCTAGTTCCTAGTAAGATACACTAGTTATAATATTATATTTTTTGTGTAATAAATATTTTCATAATATGACAATTTCTGTTATCATTATGATTGTATGATTATGATCGCGCCACTCATCTTACACTCATCTCCATTCATACTTGGCTTAAAATACCTACTTTGTCGCCATTTCATTGTAAAGTATTAAGTATTAAAGTATTGTCAATCAAACATTTAGATTTCAGCATTGACTATTTACACAGAATCTGTGTATAGTCAATGATTTCAGTTGCTTACCTCCCCATCCCGATCACCTGCAAGTGTAAAGTCGACCTAACCGTTTCCACTGTCATTTCTGAACTAAAACTGCACAAGAGGACTACAGAGTGTTATATACCAGTAGACCTACCGTGCTAATAAGTGCTAACTGCTCTCGAAAATGCGCTGTTTGCAACCCGGCGAAAATAACTCTACGTTACACCCTAGAGTAGACAATGAAAACAGAGTAATTTTATTGCAATGTTGGTGAAATTCCATGTAGTTTTTTTTTTTAGATGCTGGTTAGCTGAGTGGTTATAGTGCTCACTGGTTCGATTCGAAGAGAGTAAGTAGTTTTTTTAAAGTTTGAAACAAATAGGTTTCATTAAGTTATTAAAATAAAAAAAATACATCTTTTAGGACCATGTTCTTATAAGTCTATTTTCCTCGTGTATACTTACAGTGTGTATATTACTTTGATAATTTAATTTTTTCCTTACGCAAAGGTGTTTTGACAACAATAAATAATTAGTTAAAATTGATTAAATGATAGTTCTATAGAGAATAGTTCAAATAAAAATAGTAAAGACTATCCTTCTGAATTTTGAACAAACACAGTGTTTAGATTAAATTTTATTAAGTCAGATTCAACCACAAATCTCTTTTAGTCCACGCACGTAATTACCATTAATTTTGCTAAATGTTATAATTATATTTATTTTAATATATTAATCTTGCTTGGGTGGAATACCGAATAAATACTTAATACAAAGGAAATACGTGAAAGAAAAATAAAAGGAAATAAAAGGAATAAAAGGGAAGACATAGAAGGGGATATTTAAAAGGGTGAGTGACGTATTTCGTACAAGGAAAATGCACCTCTGATTAAAATTACTATACTATCCTGGGGCAAAGACCTTAAAATAGAATGGGCTGACGTAATAAGATGGCCGACTCGGTGGATAATATGTTAAATGAGGAAATGTTAAGAAATATTATTCAAACTACTCAGAACAATATTTTTTGTAGACTTGTTAACAGATGTACTGTAATACAATACTATTTGTGTTGCATTCTACAAATGATCATGTGTTATTTGTGTAACAAAGAAAAATCTATTTCTTAAAAACGTCTTTCTTTGGATAAGATTATATTTTTACGACTCTGACACATCACGTGCTTATTTTAAGGAGTAAAAGTATTTAATTCTTTTTGTCTATGGTAAAAGTGAATGAGAGTTGATTGGATAGCCTAGTTACTAGGATCAGCTGGGTATTCAGATAAAACCATTTATTAAAATACAATCCATATATACACCCCAAAGTACCCATGAACTAGAGAAAACTACAATTCACACCCCACATAAACCATATATTTAAAATTTTTGTCATGACGAGAAACCTTGCGCAAAACTATCCATTATTTAATAAATTGTCGTTTAAGGTCGTAATTCCTTTCTAAAGTGAACTTTCCATATACCTAATGTTAAATATACCCCAGCTGTACTTATTTTTTTGTTATTCTTTAAATGTATTACCTTATTAAAATCAGTTGTGATTCTTTGTTAACTGGGAGTATGTTTTATCTATGCTATTGGATTCAGAAGTACATACAGGGATTATGTTTTATCTTTGACTATTAATACAACAACGTTTTATCTATGGTATTACTGTATTCTGTTTTGTTTATTTCAGCTTAACTTAACCAATCAATAGCTTTAATGTTTATGAAGTCAAACGGGTTGAAGCCCGTGGGTAACAGCTAGTTTTGAATAAATTAAATTCAACTAGATATTTTACACACTAAACATTATGCAAGATTTATCATTGGTACACCATAGGTAGTACATTAAGATTATTACTACTATTATTATATAGGTTAACTGTTAGATAGGACCGGTACTAAGTTCGCCTCAATAAAGAAGCATTTTCATTATCGTGATACTTCATTTCAACCTACAAAGGATCTGCTAGTCCACATATCACATAGCTTAAAGTAAATTCGCGATCGGACGGATTTGATCCCGATCGTCCACTGTGCCCCATTATCGTATAAACAATCAACAATTCGTAAATCGGGCTACCTCGGTATTGTTCAATAATGTAGGTTTTAACGAAAACAAACAACAACATAAGGAAACGACAACATAATAACCATTTTCAGAGAAAATTGCTACTATGCTCAGTGTGTAAGACTAAGATCGGGAGGGACAGGTAAGATTTCAGAATCAACAAAAACTTGATGGGTTTAAACAACTTTCCGTTAACAGCGTTTGTGAAACTTTAATTAAGAATTCCAGTTGCGTAAACAATAACAAAATCCCCGCCTCAGCATACCTGCAGACTAAGCAAATTTCCTTATGTCAGATTGGGGTTTGAAATTAATTTTCTATTTAAATAACATTGGGCTTAATGAGTACATAGATTAGTACTAAAGAGAAGAAAACAAAGTTGTGTTGATATTCATGTCAACATATTCATGTCAAATTTTATCAACATTGGACCAAAATCACTCCGTATTTATGGACGGGTTGAATAAAAATTTGAACGAATAGTGTTTTTGGTCTCTGGGGACATTAAGATGAATAAGTAAATCTGTCCTGGGTCTTACCATTACCAACGGTAATATCTAACTCCATATATGGGACATTTGTTAAATAAATAAAAAAAATCATAAAGTAATCTTTTTAACTAATCACGGTCGCCCTCGTAAAACGTGCCACCAAACCCCATGTTTGCTGGTACACCGTGTCACCAGTCACTTATCAAGCTGCGTGACCCGATAGTCAAACGACTTTCTAATTCTTGGTAAACAGAAGCGAGAGCGGAGGGCGGAGTCCTACGTCAGAGCCACCCTGGGACGTCATGTCATTACTGAAGACCAGGGGGAGACCGGTGGCGGAGCCCAGGACCTGCCATAGAATGGAAGACAAGGCTACAGGCTGGTGGAGTCAACTAGTTGCTGCAAGTGCAGGTAGGCTAGTGCAAGTTGTGTGAAATTGTGTGTTAAATATATTGTTATGAAGTGCTTCGCAACGGGAATGACGCTGTGAATTATGTTGTGCTTTAGATCCGTATAAAATAGTTACAACTCTAATTTTCATAAATATTTGTTTATTTTATGAATTTATTTTATCAATAATATATTCCAACCAACGGTCTCACAACGAATTACTCTAATTTTTAATTTAATCGAGTTGCAAAATTCTTTTCTTAAATTAAACTTCTAATAGGAAATTTTTATAATAAATAATAAATTTCTATGAGGAGTTTAAATTTTTAGGATCCATTACAGTGTATAAGTAGTGCATCTGTGTTTAAAAATACTGTAACCCTACGATTTAATTCGTATTATTTAATAGTGTGGACCTACTTACTTTCGAAACACTACTTATATATGATTTCAAAATAATTTAATAACATACCTTGGAGTTGCATCAAAATCAATTAATTACTAGGTTTAGTTGCTTCTTCAAATCAAATAACAAATAATTTATTTCGTATAATAATTTTTACAAATTACATCATTTTCAACTCTGTAAAAAAAGCGTTTATAGTATAATTTAGTCTTAATTTAAGTCTAGAATATTATATTATCTTATTATTTAGTATCGTAAAAATTAAACAATTTTCAGTCAAGCTTTTTTAATTGGACTCATGAAAAAAAAAACAGTTTATCTTAACTCTTCAATTTTAGTCAAAACTACAGTATTTTGGGGGATAGCCCAACTCCGCGCTGTGGTCAAATTTAAGCCAAGGAAAAGTTTTATGGCCCTCGAAGGGTCCAGTCCAACTCCGCGGGATGGCCACATCAAAATATCTATGCTACCTTATTGTGCTTTCGTATGAGATATGAAGTGTTTAATATAAAATATTCTATGTGTCCCCTAAAGTAATGTTACACTTTTATTTGTTCATAGCTACTTTATACATGTGACAGATTAGTTTAGGTTGTTAGGTTAGGTTAGGTTAGGTTAATGTTAGGTAAATTCAAATCAAACATAAGTATTCTATTTTTTACTAATTAACTTTATTTTATTTGTTACTGTGGTTTCACACATTTCTAAATTATGTACATTTATAATAATTTCATACTTCAAATACAAACCCATAGCCCTCAGGGCTGTTCGAGCCAAAATTGACCACCGCGCGGAGTTGGACAGTCGGTTTTGACATGTTTCTGACCACCGCGCAGAGTTGGGTTAAGCCCGTTTTTTCTTGTAATTCTTTCCTACGCCAAGGGCCTTTTCAATTAAAGTCAACGTGAGATTAAACGCTTTTAAAAGGTCCAAACCCATTAAAGTTTTGACGATGTGCCGGGAATTGAAGCCGTCTCCCGCACCGAAGTCCAAACACCACAACCGCACTAGCGTTCCCAGACACTAAATCGATGCATTTTTTCATCGTTAACTCCGCAAGGCTATTTAAATATAAGTAGGTTAATCAATGTAAAAACATTTAATGCTTTCAAGATGCTTACTAGAGTTTGGGAGTCAGATATTGGTAACCAACCGATGACTGTTAGTAATGATTGATTATTTTAAGTTGGGTTAAAATGCCCACCTACTAGGTGCACTACCTACTAAAGGCACCTACCTAGTAGGTGGCGTCCCCATCTTAATGATAGATAATTGATTGGTAAGGAGGTACTGAACGAAATATTTACCCTACCAATTACCTTTCTATAATTAAATTTAAGATTCTATTGTTCTATCCTACGAGCAATAAAACAGAACTCATCATTAGTATTTGAATGAGATTATTCAAATTATCATTAACCTTAAAATCCACGGTAATTTCTTATGAAATGTAGCCTATTCATTTGTACCAGTTTTTACTCTAACCCTACACTCTTTCGCATATACCTGTTAATATGCATTTTATCTTCACACTTCAAATTTTTAATTTACAAACATTATACACAAGCATTTTACAGCCAAGAGAGTTTTGTACGCGTGAAAAGTTGGCAACACTGGCTGTAAATTCCCGTAGATCAGCTGTTTTGCTGTCATTGTTGACAAGCTTTCTAATGTCAACAACGTATAAAGGTGTAATTATTTTTATTATAGTCAATTTAGTGAAAATTAAAATGATTATTTTAGTGATTAATGCTAAGTTAATTTTACAAAATGAATCAAAACAAGTGTATAGGCCACTATAAATCTACATACTTAGTAGAGTAAGGGTTTTCCCTATCCCTTATCCAACCGTCATTCTTAACAAATGTTTACAATCAAGGTGCTATTTTTAAAACGTACTGTATGATCTAGCGCACCTGTGAATAGTAATAACAAAGGTATTTTCCTTAAGGGCTTCACCTCGCACGTTAAATTTATTGCTAGAGTGTATTTTAAAAGATCCAGTGATAGTGATGCTAACCAACTTTCTTTATATTGGCTCAATAGTGTGAATTTTAATTTGACAGCTGTTCCTTCAGTTGAATTTTTAACCACAGTCAGATTGTAATTAAGACATTAAACCTTTTTTGAAAATGTACTTTAAATAAGCTACTTTTTGACAACTGTGACCTGATAAAGGAAGGAAATGACTCTTAATAGTCTAGTAATAAAATCAACAAATTTATACTAAATTAGTAGTTCTATTCACCTAATAAATTATCTATAAAAATAATCTTGAAAAGATAAATGGGTATTACACAGGATTCATTTTGCCTCGGAAAGAAGTTTTGGACCCTGACCCCTGACCCAAAAGTACCTTCGTTGTCTTTACGTGTAAAAAGGCTTACAAACAATGAGGATGAATCATTACGTCATTTATGGTCATCGGAAAAATTTCTTGTGAAATTCATGCTAAGAATCTTTGCTGCGCTCTTGAGAAACTTTTACGAACGGTTGAATAAACGAGTGTCATATTGTAACTTTGCGCACTAATTACACAAATTACTATCATCGTACTAATCATACATAGCAGAAAGTAAAACTTACTTGTAGTGCAGCGAGTAACGTCGACGGAACGCTACTGGGGCTGATTTTCCTTATCACCTTATCATGAGATGGTCAGAGGTCAAAACTTATTCGGAAAATGGTTTCTGATAAGAATTATCTGTACAAAAACATTTCACACTCGATTTTTACAAAACTTCGATAGCAAAATATCGTTTGTAGTTGGGGGTGTCTTAAAAAAATAACACTATTCCAGGAGAAATTAAGGTTTTCGCAAAGGCAATTTATAAAAAACATAATTAATTAAAATTGTACTTTTTTTGTAACGCTAAGTATTGATGATTTAAACATACTTCATTAGCTCAATGGAAAACAATTTTGATTGATAAAACACTATGATGATATGTGGCCTGTCGTAAATTCATCTCCTTTTAGTTATAATAAAACTATATAAAGCTCCTTTGTGAACAAATCTTTCATCTTTTACATTAGTTGTGCCTTATATTCATAGAGTTTACTCATAGCTACTAAATAGTTTCGATACCAACGTTTCATTCACACCATGTAAATAGTCATCAGTAAAATAAACGGAATCAGCAATCTGACACATACTTTCTCCCATAACCTTGACAACAACCTTTATCATGGGTAAGTAGTGAGAGTAATATGATATTTCATTGTTAAAAATCACAAAAGCTGCAATACATTTTGAACCGTAATTTTTACAACAATGGGGTGTTGTACTATTTTTTTCCCTACAGTTACCTAACAATGTACATGTTCTCACACTGATTTGCGAAAGCAAAGTGGCCAATTCGCTCATCAGTGAGACATCTCACTCTAATTAGTTTGTCTCACTCACTCCAGATTTGCACGAACTAGTGAGCGCGTAACATCCAGAAAAGGTCGTATGCGCACGAAATACGTTGGCAGCACTGGCTGTAAATCAGCTGGTCAGCTGATGTACTGTTGTACCATGAAATGTAATATTTAAAGTTCACTTCTGTGTAAAAATATGTCACGTTTCTTTACCAATTTATTTGTTTTATGGTAAACTAGCTGTAACCCGCGGGCTTTGCCCCGTTTAACTTCTTAATTTTCAAGATTATCTCGTTCGCATGGCTCAATCACGTCCTGGTTGAAGTTTGTTCGCTACGCTCACTCACCTTTAGGTTAGAGCTCGTTCGCTACGCTCACTCACCTTTAGGTTGGAGCTCGTTCGCTACGCTCACTCACCTTTAGGTTGGAGCTCGTTCGCTGCGCTCACTTGCCTTCAGGTTATCTCGTTCGCTACGCTAACTCGCCTCCAGGTTGAAGTTCGTTCGCTACGCTCACTCACCTTTTGGTTGCAAATTAGCTGTTGTCATAAATGTAAAAGAAATAATAGTGCTGCACCCTGTTGGTAATCCTTGTAACTTTAATGCTATTGAACATCATAGAACAGAACCAACTTGTTTAATTGAAACAGCTGTTAAGATTCAATAATTCCATTTCTCATAAGGTTAACATGGGAAACTCCAGAGCCACTGGGGCGGAGCCCGAAAGGATTTTTGAAATAAGAATATGCCTATATGTTAATCGGGAATGTGAGCTATCATCATGCCAAATTTCAGCCCAATCCGACCAGTATTTTTCGAGTTTACTTTTCCCATACACACATACAGCAACCACCTCTTTTTTATAATAGTATAGATGTAGGAAATAGTTATTTGTGTAACTAGTGGTGAAAGTGGCACTTTGCTGCACACGAGAGCAATGTTAACGCACGAGCCGCAGGCGAGTGTGGAATGACCTCGAGTGCAGCAAAGGCCTTTTTCACTCGTGTTACACATTATATTTTTCCTACAGTCACTATAAAACATATAAATAATTAGTCTTTCAAACACTATACAACACGTTTTTAGGTTCAGCTGGCAACACAAATGGTGACTTAGAGAAAGTAGTACCCGCGGTCTGTATCACTCCGCTATTTTTCCTCGGCAAGAAATGTGCTCCGCGTTTTGAGAATATAGTTCCGTATGTTTTTGTAATCTGAAGTTGTTTCCGCGCCTAAAAAAAATGCTTTAAAGGTATTTTCTTGTTTATTAAGATCGTAGGAATGTTTTAAAAACGTTTAAAAGAAAATTCGAGAAAGTTCAGAAATACCGAAACTATAAACACGAAATGACAGGTTAAATCGTATATAATAGTCAATCAGCTGCTCATAGTATTATTATCTTTAAGTTTTGCCAACCTATTTCCAAGCGTACACGGATTACGTGCATAATAGAACCACGCTGTTTTGTGTTGTTTCGTTGGAATCCTGATGTGCGGCAAAGTATAAACCGTACGACAAAATATAAACCGTACGGCAAAGTATAAATATGCAGCAATTAGCAGCTTTCTGTACTATAAACAGTACAAGGAAGCCAACTTTGTCGGGTGACTGTAGGAAAAATATAATGTGCAACTCGAGTGCAAAATGCAATTGCCTCGCTCGAGAAAACATTCTTCACTCGCCTACGGCTCGTGAGTAAGTATTTCTCTCGAGTGAGTCAATTGCTCCCTTTGCTCATTAGTTACACAAATAACTATAGAATTATAAGGACCATGACTTTTTAATTTTGATCAAAACTAGCTTTTCAAAAAACATCAGTTTTTTGTTTTTTATGGGAAAATAACATAAGTTACAATAACTTTTGAACCGTAATTTTTACGGTAATGGGATCTGTATGATTTTGTTCAGAATTTAAAGGACTATAACATTCTAAATTTTTTAGAAAATCGTTCAGGCCATTTCCGAGAAAATCCGATTTTCCCGATATTTTATGGGGTTTTATGGGTAAAACCCCATTAAAAATCAAAATTTCAAAAAAATTAAAAAACTTTCAACATTTTAAGGTTTATAACATACTATGTTAAATCAAAACCGGCATTTTTTCTATAATCTTATTTGTCCTTATTTTATGGGGTTTTCATGGGAAAATAACACAATTTACAATAACTTTTTAACCGTAATTTTTACAGAAGTAGGTTCCTTTCCGATTTTATTTCCAAGGGGAAAAATTAGTTTCTGGGATCAAAAAAGGACAAACACGATATCCACACGTTGACATCAACGGCTATTTCATCCGTGGATTATCATTTATTAAATTATACCTCCCTTACATGACGGTGTTCCATGTAGTATTGAAAGTTCAATGAACCTGTGACATCAATTCTTCTCTTAAAACAAGAAACCGATTGTTTGTAAGATTTATCTGTGCAAACCTTTTTATCTGTTCACTATAATGGAGGCTATTACTTTTGTTCTTTTTACTCTGAGGTGATGCATCATGTTAAAAATAGAACCCTAATTTAGATAAACAGAAATCTAACTTAATATCTAGTTTGGACTGATTCAAAATGCCCAAGATAGCACCGAAACTATTGTAGATCATTCACTCGCTTCGCTCCATTCGCTTGTTCGTTAGTCTGTTAAAACTTTCTAAATGAAAGTTAATTGTAACCGGAGTATTAATAATATATAGTTAATAATATCTAAAGTTAACGGTGTGCCCTTTAGTGAGCTTTCTTCTCGATTTTTTAGAATATCGATTAAATGCCTACTAATTTCAATCACAAGCAATAAAAAATTAAAATTTATTTTTTTATTTTAATTTTAGTTTGCATTACAACTTGCTTTTAACATTTAAAATATACAGCTCTAAATGACTGTGTCATTTTATGACAAATAACAAACTATTCCTCGATACATTTCATGATTATCATAAATTAATGTTTGTACAGTATTTATAAATTGACAAATTTTTTAAAGCAGGTTTTTATGAAAAAACAAAACCGCTCATGTAGGCATTGCCTTTGACTGTGTATACAACTAGACTTTCTATGTTTTTAAAGTTGAAGCATCGACTGTACACCTAAAGTCAACAGTTTTAGCAAGTTTTATGATATAAATCATGCACAAATAGTAGATGAATTAAGTCTCCCACAGATTGTGCTGTCAATTACATTTGCTACTTTTTAGCCAAGCTAAACCGAAAATCCAACTCTTTATTGTTAAATGTATCAATCATAGCATTTAAAATTAAGAGAGACTAAGTAATTTTAGCAGTCCCTGATCTATAAAAAGTTAGTGTTATTAATAAACATGTTACAAAGTTATTACGTAATGCTGCAACGTCTATTCTGGCACTGTATGTTTATACAAGACAGTGGCACGTCAAAAAAACAGAGCAATGATTTCCAAACAAGTAAGAAATTCTCATGAAGTAACTGACTTTTAGGAAATAAATTTCTTGTTAAAAAAAACGTTTGAAAACAAAAGAAAGGCGTTAAATGAGCATCCTCCAAATAAAACTCTTCCTTATATTATATTCAGGGTGAATCATAGAAATGTTTTTTATTTGATGCTTTATTATGTTGAATATACATGATATTTTAACTTTTAGCACTTCAAACGGGAGTTTTATTTAATGCCAAGGGCAATCAGTGAAAATATTTTTGGTGTAATCATTAAACATCTAGGTCCATTACTTTATTCTTGATATTAGGTTCAAAATAACTTCCCTGCAATGAAGTGTTTTTACAAGTTTTTACTCTTTGATTTGCAGTTTCCTATGCTAACAGGATTTGCGAGATAAAACCAAATTCAATCTTGGCCGGGTTGATTTGGAAACCGTACGACATTCTCATCTAAAGTATGCTTTCTAATAATAGGTTGACTGGTTGACGTGAATGAGTATGTAACATTATCCGAGACTGTTCCTTTAAAAAATTAAATTCCAATCACGTGAAAACACAAAAGAGCTATACGGTATTTTAGTTAATATTGTAATGCAATAGTTAGTGTGGTTTCTTACTTGAACAGAATGGTATTTAAATACATTATTATAATTAATCCAACCAATGTCTTTTGTTTTAGCGGCTCTGTGCGTTGTGGTAGCTGGGTCTTGTTTCGGATGGGTCACTCCAATCCTGTTGACGTTCCTGAGTCCCGAAAGTCCTGTTCCCATGACCTCAGTCGGGGCCTCTTGGATGATCTCTCTCTTGGAGTTCGGCAATCTTCTGACCCCTATCCCGGCCGGCTTCCTGGCGGACACCTACGGTCGCAAGCCGCTGATCCTCGCAACAGGCCCGCTCTACATCATCGGCTGGATCATAATCATGAACACCCAAACTCTTACTGTCCTCTGCGTCGCAAGAGTGCTTCAAGGACTCGCTCTAGGCATCGTGTACACCGTCGTACCCATGTACCTTGGAGAAATACCGAGTCCGAAGTTCCGCGGAGCTGTCACTAGTATCTTCCAGAGTGCTTTCTACTTCGGGTTTCTCCTCGAGTATTGTATCGGACCTTTTGTCTCGTATAGAATCCTAAACGCAGTCAGTGCTGCTCTTCCTGTGATCTTCATCGTGTGTTTCCTTCGACAACCGGAGACTCCGTACTTCCTGGTGATGCAAGGCAAGATGAAAGAGGCAGCGAAAAGTTTGGCTTGGCTGAGAGGTAAGCAAAGACCGGAAGAAGTCATGTCGGAGTTGGAGTCCATCGATGAATGTGTGAAGAGAGAGATGGCGAACCAGGCTAGTTGGAAGGACGTTGTAGCTACCACAGCTGACAGACACGCTCTATTGATAGTCAATGTGGTTGGAGTGGTGAAGATAATGAGTGGCTCAGTGTGCATCCCTACCTACTCCACTCAACTCTTCGCTCGCACCGGGTTTGACATGGTGTCCCCAGACGTCATCACTATCGTGATGGGAACCGTCATCTTCCTCTCCAGCTTCTTCAGCACGGCTCTGACAGACATCACAGGTAGAAGACCTCTTCTGATGATTTCCGCGGTGGGTTGCGCCTTCAGCCATCTTGCAGTCAGTATTTACTTCTTCCTCGACGAACGCACCGGAATCGATGTTCGCGCTTTCAACTGGATTTGTCCTCTAGCTCTCGTCCTCTACTGTCTTTTCCTCGCGTTCGGTCTCGACCCTGTAGCAATGACCTACAGATCAGAAATGTTCCCCGCAAACACTAGAGCAGTAGCTGCCAGCATCAACACTCTTATCTTCACCATTAGCGCCTTCATATCACTCAAAGGCTACCAAGTGGTCGCCGATACCGTTGGTTTTGACGTATTGTATCTCGGGTTTTCTCTTGTTTGTTTCTGCGGGGCTTTTTGGATGTACTATATCGCCATCGAGACCAAAGGCAAGACTTTGTCGGACATCCAGAATGAGTTGCAGGAGAGCGCTGAAATGAGGAGGAAGCAGAAGGAAATCAGGGAAATGGACGAAGGTGTTTATAGGTCGGTGTACATCTAGTCTTGTTCACGCAAACATCGGCGTATATAGTAGTAATATTTTCAGTATATTTGTTTAGTAATTATCAAAACTCTATATGTGATGTATTTTTTTACAAATGGGTCAACGCTGAAGGCGTGTTTTGTAGCAGCTCTTTGGAAGCTTATTAACTTAATATTTAAGTCCGTTTTATGTAGTTTTGTAAATACATTTTATTACTTTTGTACTTACGTTGTGCTCTTTTTTAGTTCTAAGTTTCCGTCTGTGATAAATACAAACTTTTTTAATAAACCATGTATTTTATTTGTCACCTATGGACTTCAAAATAGAATCGTTTCCCTAACCATTGGTCAAAATGGAATAATACAAATAAATATAATGTAAAAGAACGTGTGTGGAAATGTAACATAACTTGACCATTATGGTTAAAAATCTTAAGAGACGAAATTGTAACGAAATTTAACATATTGTATTACGAAATTCTCTGTGAAATTCAAATTTATGTTATAAATTAACTGCGATGATCGATGTCTTCTAAAATGAAAGAGGATAGCTAAAATTATATACTCGGGATGGTTGAGAAATTTTAAGTTAAATTATTGTTTAAGTAATTTGTTTGCTACTTATTACTTATCCTTATTACCAATTACTTATTTTAGTGTTTGTCTATTGGAATGTATTTGATAAGAATCAAACTTAAGTAATCATTTTTTGAGGAAAACATAAAATGATGAAAACTAACAGAGTACCTGCCCTTTGTACGGGGTTGGTGTATAAGTATAAAATGCTTATTGCAGTTATAGGAGAGGACACGGGTTAAAAATTGTGTTCTCTAAATTTACGGTACAGTATTATATAGTACTGTATAACACATCTACCATAGCCATAATGCTCTACCACTGCACCTAAATATTTGCAAAAGTATATTATCAAAAACAGTAACAATATCACAAATTATTAAATTAAAAACATAAACATAACTGTAAACAATCCTACTTTGACAGTTCTCATTGTCAATCACAGAGTTGTCATAGTGCTGCACCATGTTGGTAAACCTTATAACTTTTTAATGCTATTGAACATCACAGAATTAATTGTTTAATTTAAACAAGTGTTAAGATTCATTAATCCATTTTAAATATTAATAAGGTTAACATGTGAAACTACTAAGCCACTGGGGCAGAGCCTGAAAGGATTTTTGACATAAGAATAGGCCTATATGTTTTTTTCGGGAATGTGAGCTATCATCATGCCAAATTTCAGCCCAGCTCGATCAGTAGTCAATACGTGATTGAAAAAAAAAAAAAAAAAAAAACGTTCAAATTTTTAATATCAGTATGATTTACATAGTTAAATACAAGGTCCGAGGAAGACAAAGGTTTGTTTTATAGGAATCAAGCTATTTATACCAACATTAATACGCGGGTGAAAACACTAGATAAATTCCATAATGGTTTCTACAAAGTCAACCTTGGTTTTGTGTCTGGACGCTATCTACTATTGGGAACATGCGAGGTTGGAAACATTTAGATAACTACGTGAGCGATATCTTCTGTTTTTCTCAGCTTTTCTGCCTCAAGTCACTAATATTCTCAGCTGATAACAGGTTTGGAATCCCCACCAATCCCGGTCTTCCGCGTTCTTGACAAAAAAGATTGCAAGGAATTTTAAATTTAAGGGGAAACAATGTACTAGGTAGTCAAAGGTACTACCTGTACTACTTAAAGTATGTTTCACATCTGAGTTTGGAAACAGATGTTTACAAAAAACATCTGTAGAAACCAGCATAACATAAGCTTCTGCTTGATGATTCAACAAAAACGTCGTGTTATATGTTTTGTTCATATTGGCCTGGTATATGAGCTTTTCTTAAGAAAATACCACGAATACTTGAAAAATACCGGTATGGATCATAAACATAAAAAATAACGTTGGCTCGAATCCTATACTAATAGCATTGACATATGGATTAGATAGTTCCATTTAAATAATGTTAAATAATCTTTACTTTCAGACCAAAAAGGTCATTTGTTTATTTATGGTCCATACCGGGTCTTTTCTAGTATTTGTGGAAAATACTTAAAATATCAACCAAATCTCTTATGTATAGGTTTTTAATTTCGAGAATATTTTGTCTTGTAAATATATTGGTTTTGTATTCAAAACCATAGGTACTTATTGTAACCAATTTAGTAACCATAGAATGCATAAACGTATAACTTAACTTAAGACTATCTTATGTATTTTTAACAGCAGTATAAGGCAGTTGGAAATGTAAAGAAATAACGTTCCTTGTCCAAACCTGTTAATAAAAATTATACGTATAAATATTCTTGTACAAGGAAACAAATTCAGAAAATAATGATATCTGTTAATTTAAACTTTTAAAGTGAATGGGGTAAAATGTAAAGGGATTTTAAAAATCCTATATGGGATACTTACTTATTTATACTTATACTTACTTATATAGATTAGGCATCATACAAAATTACTTGAAACCCACTGGTCACCCTTTATCGTTTTCTTCACTGCATCCAGACCAACAGTTTTTCAATATAAATGAGTGGCAAAAATACGTAGTTATCTGAATGTCTGTCAGTACATACGGGATTTTGACTAAACTTTTAATCGCGTATCAATTTTAACATGTATTAAATTTCATGTTACCTACCTATACCAGTTAAAAGTAGTACGGTATATTCTTAAAGATTACAAACGTAAATTTTATTTTCAACTAAGCTAAACTCTTAATGATCCGTCATTTATTTCAAAAATTAAGTTGGGAGGTTAGCATATGGTAGAAAATAATTGATTTATGCAATTTTTTATTGTTTATTTACCAAATGTTACTGTTTAACAAATCAAGTTAATCATTAATTTAAATACATGTGCTCACTTTTTGATGGAGATTAAGTAAACAGAATTTTTCTTATAACCAATTGAATCATGTATATTTTAAAAACCCAATTAATTTATTGTACATAATATTTTTACATGATTAATCATTTTGATTAAAATTATAAATTTAAACAACACTCACAAAGAATCTACCACAAAGAATCTATACAATAATATAGCTTTTGTGTGATAGTATTCATCAGTGGTAGTAGGAAACAAGTTGTCTTTTTGAATAGACTTTTTCTCTGTTTTCTTTTTCAAGAAATTATGTTAAAAAAGTCTATTACGACATCAATTGTTTAAGAACCGCAAAGATGACCAGCACTCCTTTTCATTTTTGTTGCAAAAAAACCAAATCACAAGTGGACGTCGGAAATCTCAATAGTCGGAATATCCAAGGGCTTCCCATTCTTCTGCAATGAGGCGTTCAATTCCTGCCTTATTTCAGCAAAAGTCTTCCCCTTGGTTTCCGGGACGGTGAAGTATATCCAGAATGACCCGAAAAAACACACTGTCGCGAACATCCAGAAGACGGAAAACAGCCCTAACGCATCGGTGATCACCAGGTAGAATTTGAGGACAAAGAAAGCATTGAGAGTCAAGTTGATGGCAGAAATACTGGAAGCGAATCCTCGAGTATTGCTGAGAAACATTTCAGACTGGTACATAACAGACACTGGACTTACACCTAGAGAAACGAACAGACTGAACACAACAATGACTGCGACAGGAAACCAACTGTAGTGCGTGACATCAACAACCGTTTGTGTGTCAAGATAGAAATAGCATCCAGCGAGAAACAAATTCACCCCTGCTCCGATACAGGAAAACATCAACAGCTGTCTTCTCCCAGACAGATCAGCGATTATTGTCACAAAGAAGCTGGAAATGAACAAAACAACTCCGAACAAGATGGTCATGTTGTTAGGTGCCACTATTTTGGTAGAGTTGTCAGAGTTCAGAGCGTGTATCTGTGAGAATGTTTGAGTCGGATACGTCATCAGAGCTATCAGACCGTTCAACACTCTGATGATACCAAGGCCTATCACGATGTACAAGGCTCTTCTATCAGCTGATGTTGAGACGATGTCCCTCCAAGATGCTTTGTTGGTTACGTCTGCCGTTACGGATTGTATCATGATCTGCAGTTCTTTGTTGACCGCGTTGGTGTTTGACCGTCCCCGCAGTCTGGCCAGAGCGGCTGCAGCAGCTGGTTCGTTCCTCCGCATCAGCAGGTAGTACGGAGTCTCCGGCTGGTTCCAGAAGATGGCCACCGCGATGACCGGAAGAGCTGCGGTGACGTAGGTGTACATGTGGTAGGAGAGGAAGGGGCCGATACAGTATTCTATCAAGTGACCAAGGTACCTGGAAATAGATTTGGTTAGAATCAGAATGGTATTTATTTTGCACAAAGAATATCAACAATCACATGCTACAATTATGTAAAGACGAGGGGACCCATGCCCAAATCGAGCATTTTAATAGGGTCCAAAACAATATTTAAAGGAAAGAATAATAATACAATACCCATTTACTTTTAAAAATCTATATCTACACCATAAAGACTGAAGAGTGATTTACAGTACCTTTTTGCATCAGGTAGCTGATTAACAAAAACGTAGCCTATTTCAAACTAATTTTCTTAAACGGTTTCGTCTTGTCTCCTTGTTTACAATCTGAATGTGAATTCGCTGTCAGATTACAACTCATAATTAAACCTTTATAAAGAAAGTTTATCGGCAACACTGATCATTGAAAATTAACTCTTGAAATAATTGAAACAAGAGGGGGCAAAGCAATTAAGGAAATTACCTTTTGCCTTTACCATTCGTAGGTGCGCTGGATCATAAGCTCTAAAATGACACCTCAATCGTAAAAATTGGATAAGTATAGCGGATGTAAGAGCAATGTAACAGAGAAACCCCTTATGAACATACCGTACGTTATATACTTAAACGTAACGTAAACGTAACGTAACGTTATATACTTAAATCTATATCTCTATGCATTGGATTAATTTAGTCTTGTAAATGTATTAGTGTTAAGATCTAACTAAAATCATAGACAAAAATTTAATTCTTTTTGTCTATGCTCAAAATGTAAATTTAAACACATTTAAAGCTCGTTGGACAATTTGTGCTTTCCACTCG